TCGAGGTGAGTTCCATCCTTTCCCCATGAGGGAAGGCCTATGCTGAGCCATCCACCTAGAAGCATCATCTCCCGAGCCATGACCCGCCTGCCGACTTTCTTCGCTGGCCTACCTCTCCAACAATAAAAACCAAGATAAGTCCCGTCCTCCCAACCCTCTTGCTTCGCTTGTCTCTATGATTGTCTCCTTTAACCTGAGCCACCTAAGCGGTAGCTCGGCTGCACCAGAGGATCGATTGAGCTAACCACTTGCTGACCTTTCTGAAGGACAGTCACTACAGAAGGCACCTGAGCAAGGCAAGGACGGGACGGGCAAAGCAAGAGGACCGGGCGATGGATCGACAAGGCACAAATAGAAGGGCCCCGACTACCGTGTTACCAGCTATGTCATCTTTCCCTTCTCTTGTGTCCATTCCATTTTCTTTGTAGATACCTACCTGTTTCCCGATCCTTCATTGGATCGAGCCACCCCACCACACGACGGTCTAGGGGCCCCTAGAAGGAGCATCACCAAGGGTTCTAAGGCCAGCACACCTAAAGTGCGAGGGATGCTTGGGAGATGAGCCCACGCGGCTATAGCCAGGACGCCCAGAAGCGTCTCGACCGTCTGTACGAGCGATGTCCAAGTACCGATTCTGAGCTACTCGTGGTGACCCAACGAGGGAGACAGCGAGCCCCCGAGTGCCGACAGACGGGCTCGAGAACTATATGAGTGGCTCGATCGGGAAGCCAAGGATCTCCCCTCTGGGGACATGACCAGGTTACGGAATGACTGTAAACCCGAGGTTCTCATGGACTTACCCGCTAGCAGCATGGGCGCGGTGATCTTGGCCAATGAGGCCATTGTCGTAACAGCCCATCCCAACGAGGGACAAAGTCTCTAAGCATGACTCAAGAGCAATGGGATTACAAACGAAAGTAATTTTGTTTCATTGATTGGGAAAGACCCAATTACAATATACAGTGGCAGAAACTGCGATCTACTACCACCCATATGGTGGCAAAGACCGCAGGGCGCACCCGACCCCTGGGTCGAGGCCCTACAGTATGCATGGCTTGGGCCGATGGGCCACCCCTGGGCTTCCCTCCGAGGCCTGAGGATGGGCAACGCCGACCGTTGCACCACCAATAGGGCCGAGCCCTCCTTGCCATCACCGGGACGGAGGGGCAGCGACCGGTGCGTCGCGGTCCCCCTCCTCCTTCAGAGGGTGTAAGAACTCTAGTGACATCACTAGAGTCCTTGCACCTTCTATGGGAGGGGAACTCGACAGACGCTTCCAGCGCCGTGTCGTCTCCCCTCCTTCGCTGGAGTTCTTCCACCCTCGAAGATGTAGTCGCCCGACGCACTAAGATAGGCTCACCCGAAGGGAAGCATCGCACTTCATCATCGCCATCGCCGCTGAAGAAAATGGATCTGAAAGGAAGAGGAGAACAGGCCAGAGGAAGGGATTGAAGACGTCGCATCCCCCGGGGCTCCCCTTTATAGCCTAGATGATGCGCTGCGAGCGGCTCTGGGCCCTCTGATCAGCCATCAACGGCCTAAAGGGGCCCTAGGGAACCAGCCAGGCGTGTCCTCAATCCCCGCAGCATGCCTTCGGGCGATTAAGTGATGACGGTCATGTAGTAAGGCGGAGTTAGGGAACCATTGACAACGAGTCAAGTCTCCACTCCACTGTCCACCATGCACGCCTCTCACTCCACGCACACCTCCATGCAGGACTTGAGGGGATCCGACTCCCCTCGAGCCCACCGGCTACCATTGATGGCCAGGATCCGCACGCACCAAGTGCCGCGGCTCCCCCTCCGCCAGATCTACTCCACATGGCCCCAACGTCCCATCTCCCAGATGAAGTGGGACGACAAGGGGTGTATGCCTTAACTCCTCCACTAGGTATGACGGCCCAGACGCCATCAACCGCCGACGCAAGACGTCAGCGGAAGGGACATGCACAAAAGCCGCTACTCTCGCTGACAGGGAGGCCCCACAATGGCCTTGGGGGCTGCGCCAGCTCCCCAGACGGAGCAACCTGACCCCCCGAACGACGGGCGCTCGGGTGACACATCCCCCAAAAAACTAGCCAACTCCCTAGAGTTGGGGCGGGAGCAGCTGAGTAGTGGGCCCAATGAGGGCCCCCATCTAAGGCTTGGCGTGCTGCCCGCACCCCGATCTGTGGCTACAGAAGGTTGGCCACAGAAGTCTAGCTCGAGAGGATCGGCACCTACTATCGTAGCCCTCGCAAAGGGCGTGGTGCTCCGGATGATCAGATGGCCCCGAGCCAGAGCCCAGACGCTCTCGATCACCCAACCCACGGCAGGCTCCGATAAAAAAGGAGGGCACCTCCGGACTCAAGATCGACAACTCCCAGACGAGTTCGCCAATCCCTTGCTTGAGTCAAAGACCTATGCGACATTGACTCACGAAGGGTTTAGCATCATCATCGCTCGGCCCCGATAGCCGAGCAACGCTCATCGCATTGGAGAAGAAAGCCCCAAGCAGGGCACAACACCCTTGTCAGTGGAAGCTGTCCCCGCCAAGGAGGGTTCGGTCACTAGAAGATCAAATTCAATCCTTCGTCGCCATCACACCGAGTGAGGCCACGAAGGGCTCGGGGGCTATACCCATCGGTACGCTCGCACGCACCCTCTGGATAAGAAACCCTGTCGGGCCTGACTATGATGCGACCTCCGCTTGGGGCTCGGGAGGTTCACCTGAGCCCCCAGGCTCCCGATCTACGATGACACTTCGGCCCAGCCCTTGGCTCCTGCACCGCTAACGACGCCAGCCAAGGCCCGGGCACAAGAAGACATGCCCCGAGCTACCGAGGCTCGGGGCTCCCCGGCGCTGCCCCTTGGGCACGACATTGCCGGCCACTTCCCTAACAAGGTCACGCATGGGGCGTGACACAAGAAGACAAGCTTCCCTACGGCCTCTAGGGGCTCGGAGGCCCCTAGGCCCGCGCGTCAGCCCTTGGAGCTAACCTCCTTTACCGTCGAGAAGACTCTAGAAGGTCCACCTGGGGGAGGCCGGTCCAAGCCGACATAGCCTAACACGCAGAGTGTTAGAATAGAGCAGCCGGACGGCGTCCAAGGCTTCTTTGGCTCCACGACACCGCCACGGTCCACAGCGCATCGCTGCAAGGCCCTCCTGGACTCCGGTGCATGTAGACCGTAGACTAGTTCCCCCAAACCACCATGTACCCGACCTATCTCGTTATATAAGGGATAAGGTCGGACCTAGGGGGACGAGGAAGATAAGATATATCATTCCATTCCTTGGCCTCGGCTCAGCATCAAGAGCAAAGGCAACCCACAAAGGGGCACCGAGAGCTCCTCTATCGCATCCCGTCGTCTTCCTCCTCTCCGACGAGGGGAAGGCACCACCGGCGGTGGGCAACCTTAGGATTAGCACCGAGCTAACCCCTACTAAATCTCTCTATAATCTTGTTGTAACCCCTCGATTTTGGATGCTTTTGAGTTTAAGGATCATCAGCTGCTGGATGTAGGGCACCGATTGGTCCAAACCAGGATAAACCATTGCATCCTCTCTATGATTGTTGTGTTCTTGAGTCCACCCGAGCCACCGGAGATCCGTACTCTGACACCGACTCGAACAACAATCCTTGCCGTGGTTCCGACCCCACGACAGCGACCAATCATCCGCCTCGATCAAATCATCCTTTTTTTGCGAAAAAATAATTTTATTAATAATCAAAGAGTATAATTACAAACCAAAGAAATAACAAACTCAGGAAAAGAACTAAAAAATACTTGACTGCGACTCGACCTAAGAGCAAAATGAGCTAACTCATGAGCAACATTATTTTGATTCCTACTAATCTTAACCACCTGCAAACTACACAAGTCCATCATATCGCGACGCGCTTCCTACAAAATCGACCTAAGTCATTGAATAGTCATGCTCCTTGCTTTTCAACCTCCCAGCCACGACAGCACATTTGGTCTCAAGGACCATGGGGATGTCAGGCCATCTAGCAGCCATAGCAACCCCTTCATGACACGCCGCTGCCTCCTCTTCTTCAGCATCCCTGCAATGGTGAAGTAAGCGCCAAGCTGATAATTTTACATCGTGGATCAAATCAACCTTGGGGGCAAAGCATCCGCAAAGTGAGAGGTCCGCATACACTCGGCAGCAAAGTATCTGCCAGAGAAGGGACCAAGGACAGCGATAACAAAGCATCCGCCAAAGACCAATCGACGGTGACTAGGCCAAGCACTCGAGTAGGACAGACCTCTGCGAAGAACATGAGGCACGGCGAGGGGCAGATCCAGGAAGAGGAACAACGATCGAGTGAAGCAATGGAGGTAGGTGCATAAAGCGAATTTATATTATAGCACAATTTTACATTTGTTGCACGATTTCCTGACCAACCTATTACAAGTCATGCTTGCTTTGGATATTGTATGGAAACGTTGAACAAACTTTGGATACAAGGCAGATGCAAGGATAAAAGACTTCATCAATTATTACAACCATTGCAACTCCTGTTGGGCCTTGTTTAGATTGAAAAAAATTTCAAACCGATGAATAGTAGCACTTTCGTCTTATTTGGTAAATATTGTTCAATCGTGGACCAACTAAGCTCAAAAGATTCATCTCGTGATTTCCAACTAAACTGTGCAATTAGTTATTTTTTTACCTATATTTAATGCTTCATGCAAACGGCTAAAAATTGATGTGATGGAGAGAGAGTGAAAAAACTTAGAATTTTAAGGGTATCTAAACAAGGCCTTGTTATTTCGCAATAAGTACAACAATAGTTTATAAATACACCACGCTTTGTGACAATTTAAAGCTGTATATGTGACCAAAACGCTGTTAGCAAGGCAATCTAGGATGAACAAACGTACGTAGAGTGCATTCACTCAGTTCTAAACGACGACGGCCACCTGCTTGGCGTGGCGCCGTCGCTGAAAATGCGCGACGAGCCAGAGCAGGAAGCGGCGGCCGTGCCGTCGAATCCGGTGACGGCGAGCCAGCCATCACACGGTGTAGTGCTGCTGGACGCCTTCCATGTCGAGGCCCTTGAGCTTGACGACGGACTCCATCTGTCCCTTGAGCGTGCTGAGCTCCCTGAGCCTGGCCACCTCGGCGCGGCGCTTGGCCTGCTCGGCGATCTCGGAGAGCTCGCGGTAGCTGGTGCGGTCGCTGAGGATGCTGCCGGCCAGCTCGGGCGTCTGCAGGCCGTGCAGGGTGCGCTGCGCCGTGGCCCACTGCGCCTCCCGCTCCTCCCGCCCGTAGTCCTTCTTGGTGGTGAAGGCGATCTTGTGCTCGAACACCGTGTCCCACGCCTTGCCGCTCAGCGCGTACCGGATGGCGAACTTGAACACGTCCAGCGGCAGGAAGGTGACGGCGCTGTAGAGCCAGATCACGCCCGCCCAACCCCATCCGATGCCCCGGATGTGCGCGAACCCGATGGTGGGAATGACCGCGATAAGGGTGGCAATCTGCACGCACGCACGCATTCGGCAATGATCAGCAAGCTGCAGCATGCCATGGATTGACAGGACGGAGATGATGTGGCCGGGCTTACGATCTGGGCGACGACGAAGGCGACGCAGAGGAGGAACCCGGGGCGTTCCGTGAAGGACAAGCCGCGGGAGCGCGTCACGAAGATGAGCGCCTGGCTGATGATGCTCACCTGCAGGTACAGCGCCGACATCATCTCCTCCCGGCTGCCGTGCAGCGACCTCACGCCGAACGTGTTCTGCCGTCCGTCGGTCGGTCGCCGGAGCAATGCAAACAAAGGAAGGTTGCTTGGTCAACATCTTATCTTCTTGTTACTGGCAGGAAGAGAATGAATTTGATGGCCACAGCCACAGCTAGTGCAGTGCTAGCTTTATTATTTACCGTGAAGAAGTCGGTGCTGCGCATGGCCCAGAAGAAGATGACGGTCATGACAGCGAGGTAGGTGCCGTAGACGACGCCGGTGACGAAGATCTCGCTCAGCTTCCAGCTGTCTGGATGCGGAGATGGCCTCACCCTGTCCTTGGAGATGGTCATGATCGTGCCTGCATTTCATTCATTAAAAGCAAGCAACAAATTGCATGCTTTATTCAGCTTGCCAATGGTGCCATGGACTATTTAGATGGTTCCGAGTCGAGTTATTAATTCAAACCCACCGTCGTTGAGGATGGCAATGACCAGGATCATGAACGGCGAGAAATCAAACTTCCAGATCAGCGCGATCAGCATGAACCCGAGCTGCATATATATTCCCATCACCAGAGCTTGTGGTTTTCACAGACAAACCGAACAGGGGAGCAAAGTCCATATATAAACAAACAAAATGGTTGACAAAATTAATGAACTTACCACAATACGGATTGTTATCGACACTGCATAAATCTGACAAAAAGAAGAAAGTTTCAGTCCAAACGGAACTGCTGAACTACTTGTCAGATGGATGTGGCACGTGCTTACGGTGTAGTTCTTCATCCTCTGGAAAATGGAACGGCTGGTGAGCACGGCACTGATGATGACGCTGAGCCCGGGTTCAGTGAGAACGATATCAGAGGCACTCCGGGCCGCGTCAGTGGCGTCGGCGACGGCGATCCCGATGTCGGCCTTCTTCAGGGCTGGCGCGTCGTTCACGCCATCCCCAGTCATCCCGCAGATGTGCTTCCTCTCCTGCAGTTTCTTGACGATCTCGTACTTGTGCTCTGCATCATATCAACAAGACAGCAACGTTGGGATTGGTTGGGTAATGCCAACATTCACCGAAAATTGTGGGGGAACTGAATGTTGTGCTCTTACCAGGGAAGACGCCGGCAAAGCCATCGGCCTTCTCGATCAGATCATCGATAGGGATGGAGGCAATGGCTTCATCTTTGCACTGCCCGAGCAGCGCCGACGAGGGGTACATGTTGGTGCCCATCCCCAGCCTCCTGCCCGTCTCCTTGGCAATGGCGAGCTGATCACCTATAGGTTTCAGTTCACGCTTGTACTTTCAACCGATCTTAGCTTGCAATGATTTAAACATAAACAGTAGAAATATTTTTGATCAAAAAGAAAAAGGTGAAGCTGGTACCGGTGATCATCTTAACATTGACGCCCAGGTTGAGCGCCTTCTTGATGGTTTCTGCACTGTCATGCCTCGGCGGGTCGAAAAGGGGCAGCAGGGCCACGAACTGCCATGGACCGCCGGGGCTGTCCTTAGACTTCTCCGGCAGTTCCTGTAATAACAATGCGTCGTGACAAGTGTCATTTACACGAAAGAATAAGATGATGGTTTATACATTTGGATGAAGTTTTTTCAAAGAAGGTATGTTCAAGATCGTTCTGAACACCTGTCTGGCGACGGCGAGAGATCTTAGGCCTCGCTCAGCATACTTGTCGATGATGGCGTGAACCTTGTCTACGACATCCTCTTTGCACTTGCACAGGGTTATGATCTGCTCAGGAGCGCCCTTGCTGACGCGGTGCCAGCTGTTGTCGGCGAGGTTGATGTAGGTGAGGGCCGTGCGCTTGTCGACGGGATTGAAGGGAAGGAAGTGCACCTCTTTGATGCCTTCCCTAGCCTCCTTGGGGTCACCGAGCATGCCAACCATGGCAGCATCGATGGCGTCCTGGTTCTCGACCCTCGAGGCCCTGGCGGCGAGAAGGATGACTTCGTTGGCGTTCACTCCCTTGACGAAGATCTCGATGAGGCCTCTGTCGACGCTGAGCTTGTTGATAGTGAGCGTGCCCGTCTTGTCGCTGCAGAGCACGGTCATGCCGGCCATCTCCTCGATGGCGGTCATGCGCTTGGTGATGGCACCCTGCGTCGCCAGCCGGTGCGAGCCGATGGCCATGGTGACCGAGAGCACCGTGGGCATGGCGATGGGGATGCCACCGATGAGGAGCACCAGGAGGTTGTCGATGCCGTCACGGTACCTGCGGTGCTGGATGGCGTACATGACGATGACCTCGATGACGATGCCGATGGCGATGGCGGCGATGCAGAAGTTGCCGATGGCCTTGAGCACCTTCTGGAAGTGGCCCATCTGGTTGGTGCTGTCGACGAGGTGCGCCGCCTTGCCAAAGAAGGTGTGCACGCCGGTGGCGATGACGACGGCCTCGATCTCCCCCTGCTTGCACGTGGAGCCCGAGTAGATGCTGTCGCCGGGCGCCTTGGTCACGGGCAAGGACTCGCCGGTGAGCGCCGACTGGTCGATCTTGAGCGGATCGCCCTCGAGCAGGCGGGCGTCGGCGGGGATAATGTCGCCGAGCTTGATGCTGATGATGTCCCCCGGGGCGAGCACGGCGGCGTCCTGCTCGCTCCAGCGGCCGTCGCGGAGAACCTTGGCCTTGGGCGCGAGGTTGGCCATGAGCGCCTCGGCTGCGCTCCCGGCGTTGCTCTCCTCCCAGTAGGAGATGGAGGAGTTGAGGAGCAGCAGGAACACGATCCCGACGAAGTCCTGCCAGTCCGGCGGCTTGCCGCCCCCGTTGGCCAGAGCAATGGCCATGATCGCCGCCGCCTCCATCACCCACGAGAGCGGGTTCCACATGAACCCGAGGAACTTGAGAATCTTGCTCTCCTGCATTGCATGCGCGCCAAGAAAAAGATCAAGGGCTCGATCCGCCATTGTTACCCAGCAGAAAAATGATAGAGCAGAACATCAATCAAGACTAGCAATGGCGAGTTAAAAGAAAGCATCATGAGATCACTACCTTCTTCTCCTCCAGCTTGTTGGGGCCGAAGACGGCGAGGCGCGCCTCGGCCTCCTCCGAGGAGAGGCCTTGCCTGCTGCATTTGAGACTCTGGAAGACCTCCTCGATGGGGATGTTCTCCTGCCATGCATAGCAAACACAGAGTAGGACAGCATCAAAACTACTAAACCTATCCAAGCCCTGGAACAGCGACGTCGGTGCGTCTGTCTAATCACTGATTAATTATGATTACTATACTAGTAGCAGTCATTAATGAGCCCAGCCGAAAAAAGTGCGGTGGTTGCAGATCACAAGGAGAGGAAAAAAGGATGGAGAAAAGCGAAAAAAAAATGGAAGCCGCATGAAGCGGCTTGTGTTGTGACCCGTGAATCAAGCAATGAGCGAGAAAACAAAAAGGAGGCAACTTTATCGCTAGCTTCACATGAGCAAAAGAAGATCACTCATCACTAGTAGTATACTCTAGTATAGTATGGGCGACGCTGAGCAGGGTGACGACTCGAGGCCAGGTATATGTTCTTTTCCCGGGACGAAAAAAATGAAACATACAAATACAGATTAGCCAGGTATCATACAAGTGATTCGTACTTGTTCGTAACATTTTTTTCGAGAGGAAAAAAAGTTTTTTTCGTGATCAATCTTCGTCATCTAATTATTCATGGAAAGAGCTTGTAGATCTTCTAAAACAAAGTAACGGACAAACCAAAGGATCTATCTTAGGTTTGAGGCAGACTGACGCGTGAGAAGCAGGCACACGGAGAGCAGAAATGTGTTGGTTTTTGAATCGACGGCCAGGAAAGACATGACAAACAAAAAGAGCTTGAAGACGCATGCTTGTTCGTACCAGATCGATTGCCTCATTCTTGATCTCCTCGAGCCCCGCCATGCCGGCTGCTGGCAGCCGGCGCAACTGCCGAAGCAGCCGCCGGAGGAATCGGCGAGGGACGACGAAGGCGGGAGCAGTTACGGCGCGACCGGTGAGGAGTGGTGGGAACGAAGCGAAGCGAGGCCAACCAGGAAGCTTTTATATATCGGGCGCGGTGGGGGCAAAGCCAACTGTATCATCTTTTCCCTTTTTAAATTATATTTATTACTAGGTAGCGTGTTCGTGTATTGTTACGGGATAACTAATAATTTTTACTAAAAATATACAGATCGCACGATAAGATAACAATACTGTTAAATTAAATACCAATATTAAAGTAACATTTAATCCAAAAAGTAAAGTTTATGAATTTAACATAGTCACGGAGTGCGCGGCGTCACAGGCTCACAAACTCTAGAGCTTTCAGAGATTGGGTCGAATCCAACCTAAAGCCTCGGAACTCTGCATCTTTTCCTGAACGGACTTCACTTCGGATGCGCCGGTAGCAATATCAACGATCTCCGGTCGATGTACCAAGTCGTATGGATCCCCATACAATGGTTCAGACATGTAGATTTTGTTCTCCTTGTACTTGGATACACTTGTTCCACTGAAGTTTTCATTGAAATGTTTAGACACGAATAGTATCTGATCACCGATGTCCCTCACCCTGGACCAGTTCGGCGTACGGTCGTGGAGGTTGCACTTGTAGATCACGCTACTATAGATGAAGCTCTGTGTCTCGTGGAACGTGCTCACCATGGCACCCACAATGTGCAGCTCACCGTTTGATTCCAGGTAGCTGCGGTGGCAGAGCCCCGCAGGTTGCAACAGCGATGGCAGCAACGTCGCGGTTGGAGTAGCGCCGGCGGCGTTGCTGCTGCAGACGGAGATTTCTCCAGTGTAGTCGATCGCCAAGAACTTGTCTTGGCAGTGGACGCTGGACCCCACAGAGAACTCCAGTTTGGTGTCGAGCAGCGTCCATGTGCTGTTGACTCCAACCCGGCAGAACGCGACCTCCGTGGAGCACCCAAGCATGGCCATGGCCACGCACTCGTGGCCGGCGGCGTCAGGCGGCGCCGAGAGCACGATCTCACGGAAGAACACGTCCCTCATGTCTTCTATCTTGATGGCTCTGCCTACAGCATCCGCGTCCCCGTAGCCGTTGGTGGGATGGAGGATCCACCGGCCGTGGACCCTAGACACGCGTTCCGATGAGGATGCCGCCGCGACGTGTTTGCCTGCTGGCGGGAGCTCAACGCGGGGGGCACGGGCACCGGCGAATGGATTCAGCAGCGTCATGGACGCCGCCTCGTCCATGAGCGCCAGCCACCCACACGAGGAGCCGCACGCCACCTTGCCGCGCACATCGAGCAGCGTCTTGGACAAGACCTTCTTCTCCGGGATGCAGTAGAAGCCGACGCGGTCCGAGTCGGGGTCGAACAGGAGCAGTAGGAGCGGCTCGAAGGTCGCGAACATGACAGCGGTGCGCCATGGGGAGCAAGCGGATCGGAAGGATGCCGCGCCGTGGCCTGACATGAGACGCTGCCCGATGGACTCGAGGAGATCTTCTGGCAGGTCGGATCTCTAGTCAGAGAGAGGTAGTGTGGGGGGTACGACCTCGGATACCCACGGCGAACCACATGGGCTGCGCCCCCAGGGGCGTGGCCCAGCCCACAAGATGAAGCCTTGCGGAGCACGATTCTGTTCGGTGCCTTCCGCAAGACGTAGGGAGGATATCCTAAAGATACTACGAGATCTATTAGGATACGTATGATCTCATGATTCTTATAATATGTTATTACTTTCCGGTTATCTCTCAGATCTAACCGACTTGTAACCCTGCCCTCCGGACTATATAAGGGGGACAAGGACCCCCTCTAAAATCACGGCATATCATACAATAGCTAATACAAACCAACAGACCACATGGGGTAAGGTATTACATCGTATTGACGGCCTAAACCTGTATAACTCGTGTGTCTCTGTTGCCTTCTTGGTCTTGATCACGCGCTCCTCTGTCGATCAATCTACCTTCGTGGGATACCCCTCGGAGGACTGTCGACGATATTCTATCGACAGTTGGTGCGCCAGGTAGGGGTGTGAGTGCTGTTTCCTTGTCGAACAAGATGTCTTTTTCCGCAGGCTCTTCGTCCTCCCGCAGCCCGGCCAGATCTTCATGGTCGGATCCATCTCGTGGGTTATCAACACTGACGGAGTTGGAGAGGTCCTCGAGCCGGTGCAGATCCGTTCTGCGCCAACCACCCCTGCACCTGTGACTGCAGATCCGATCTTAGAACTACTTCCGAGGTCATCTTCATCAACGACTCGCCGCTTGCTTCCTCGTTACCAGAGGAGGCACATCAACAATGATGATCTAATCGAATCCATCGATCGGGTCGGTCTGAAGCTCGCCGATTGCCTCTCCATCGTCGAGTCGGCTCTGGACAATTTTGTTCAGCGCCGACCACCCTCCGATCCGGATCTATCGGAAGCTGCTCGACAAACTCCGGGGGTTACGGCCCTGCCCTTCGGGCTCGCCAACACCGCCGCTACATACCAAGACGCCCTGAGGGGGCAAATTCACCGACTAGGTGGGGAATATCCATCCTCTCACCGACCAGATCGCCGATCAGCTCTCGCTGACGGTCAACATGCTGCACGCCAGCCGAGGTCCCAGAGCATCCCTCCAAACCATCATGGAGGAAAATCCGGACTCCTAATCCTAGGGCTCCATGGAGACGCTCGCCGAAACCTTCACCGAGCAACTCCCTCTCCCGCCTTTCTGGGGTGGCGCGATCTTCAACGTCAGCATCGATAGCCCCTGTCGGAACGGCGAAACCGATGAGGAACGCGCTGCTCGTGAAAATAGGAACGTCAATCGCGCGCAACGACGTGATAACGAGCACGCCCTTGCGATGGCCGAGGCCACTCGTGACAACCAATTCGACTTGCAAGGAAGGCCGCTCCATCGCAACCTCGACGAAGAGTTCCTCCGCGTTGACGGTCACGACGTCTTCAAGACTCCAAGCGCCAATCTGGCGGTGGCCGCCAATGAGCTCGCCCACCTCCCGCAGACGCCCGAGCTCGCCAAGGTCACCGCTATGCTTAAAGCGGCACACTGTCAAGTTAATGAGATCCGAGAGGATCAGAGACCTTCGTGCTCCACGAGCACGATTCACCGATCAGCTGTGCCTAGATCCAATCGTCACCCCAGTCAAAGCCGGTTCGCCGACTAGTCACTACCTCTCTATGGGGGAGCCGGGGGCCACCGGCCGAGCATCATCGCCAGCACGACCAAGAGGTCGAACAGGACGCTCGAGTGCACCTCAGTAACCTTCGGGATGCACGACGCCCTATCGAGTAATGTCTCTTCAATCGCCATGAAGAAGAAGTACACCGCCGCCAGGAGTATGAGCAGGAGTACGGTAATCCGGACTCAGCTCTAGAGCCGATTGTCGTCGGCAACACTGTAGACAACGCCGCCGACAACCCGGAAGGGACCCCTGCTTTCAAAAGGGCACTTAGAACACTCCAGTGGCCCCGTGGTTTTAAAATCACCGGGGTCGAGCCCTATGAAGGTAGGATGAACCCAACTCAGTGGCTGTAGGCTTACGCCACTGCCGTCCGCGTCACCGGAGGAGACACCAACGTCATGGCAAATTATCTCCCCGTCATGCTCACGCCAGCCGCCATGAGCTGGTTCACAAGCCTTGCCCCGGACTCCATCGGATCTTGGGAAGAGCTGAAGAAAGTCTTCACTGACAACTACATGGCTACAAGTACGCGGCCGGGCACCAAGCATGATCTCAACCGCATCACCCAAAAGCCGTCCGAGCTCCTCCGTAGCTACATCAGATGCTTTTCCGAGATGAGGAATTCTATTACCAACATCATGGAAGCTGAGGTCATCACCGCCTTTGTCCAAGGACTTCATCACCGCGAGCTCCGTTCCAAGTTCAACCACAAGCCACCCATAGGCATCGACGATATGATCACGATCGCCAACCAGTACGCTGACGCGGAGGAAGCTAAGGTGTGTTTCAACAAAGATACGGGCACAAATCGCCCGCCTCACCGCTACGACGACCGCAATGACAACCGACGCCACAATGATCGCTGCTATGACGACCGCAGTTTCCATCGGGACAGTGGCCGTGATCGACCAGAAGCATCCAAGCCCGGTCAGAATCGCCGCCGCCGGCCAGACCACTTTGTCGCTGCCGTTAATGAGCCGCGTGCCAAGTGCAACCATGACGAGTAGTACAGGAAGATCCTCGACGGCCCGTGCCCCCTCCACAAGAACGCCAAACACAAGATGAAAGACTGCCTCGGTTTGGCCAAGGAGTTCCAGGACAAAAAGCTGGACGACGACGCCAACGGCGGGAACGGAGGCCACCGACCACCTGGGGGCAATAACAACGCCTTCCAGGACCATGACAAGGCGGTCGCCACCATCTTCGGAGGCCTCGCCTCCACCAAGAGCAGAAGAGAACGGAAGCTCGCCGCCCGACGAGTGCTCGCCGTCACTTTAGAGGAAACCACCACCAACCCCAGCTATCGCCCATGGTCCGAGGTCCCCATGACCTTTAGCTGGAATGACCAGTGGGTGGACATACCCTATATAGGGTGTTTCCCTCTCGTCCTCGACGCAACCGTCTAGAAGGTGCTCTTCAAAAAAGTCCTCGTCGATGGCGGGAGCGCTTTGAATCTACTCTTCGCCGGGGCCCTAAGAGAGCTGGGCCTTGGGATAATAGATCTCATGCCCTCAGACTCCTCTAGGGCGTGGTACCTGGCAGGGCATCCAGACCATTGGGAGAGATTACCCTACCAGTACAGTTCAGCATGGCAAGCAATTACCTCATCGAGCATATCAACTTCTACGTCGCCGACTTCGACACCGCCTACCACGCCATACTTGGTCGGCTAGCTCTGGCCAAGTTCATGGCCATGCCGCACTACGCATATCTGGTAATGAAGATGCCTTCGCCGCATGAGTCCTATCTCTATGGGCCAACCTC